AGATCTGAACTTCCTTCTCAAAGCTAACCCAAAGCATAGCAGCCAGTGATGGCTAGAATGGAAGCTTTGCACTTCTCCATCCTTCCATTCTATTGTTGATTATTCTGGAAAAAGTCTCAAAGGTGAGAAAAGTAGGTTAAACTTTGTCTCGAGGAGTGTAAGGTAATGCTTGATTTCCAGACCTGTGTGGTGAGCACACAGGTTTATCCACTTGGTGTTAATTCATAAAATTCAGCATTTCTGATATGTACCATTTCTCATTGTAACATTTACAATCCAATAAAATTATTTACTTCCGGACCTAATAAAGGATTCTAGTGGCCAGTTGGCAGAGAAGAAGGAAAAGAAGTCACTGGCGCAAGGCTGGAGAAATATGCCTTGGTCAGAGGTGCACACACATTTGTATAACTTTCTAGACAAGTACAATGATAGTTGCTCTCTGGGAACTTAGGAGAGGTCTGGAGGGATTGAAGCATAGGATCAATAATTTCACTTAAAATAAATGTAGTAATTAAGAACTGTTTCCAGGGTTTAGAATATGGTGGCAACCTCATGTATCACATTCTCTGCCTTCATTTAAGCTTATATTCACTTTTATTGCTGTATTTTTTAGTGCACAGTATTAAGCTTCATAAAGACATTTTCATAAATGACCATATCTCTCCATAGAACACCCTTCTAACTCCTCCTTTTACTCTACTTTATTCTACTAGTCAGTTTTGCTTCAACTTTTCATATAGCTATATAAGGTAATGATTTCAGTCTCATTATAAAGCCTTCACAGACAATGATGCTGGAATTTCCAACAATCATAAATGGAAAACCACATACACTCTGTGTAGGTCATCTCTTTATCCAAGATATAAGTTCTTCAGCGTGGGGACCATTACTCCTCTGGTGTGTAGATCACTCGTCCCATTTCACACAGTGAGTACTGCAACAAATTGCAGACACCTTAACAGATCATCAGATATAGCTCCTTCTATAGGCCTTTTACCTTACCTGTCCTTCAATTATAATAAATGTCTCTGTCTAATAAGTACTCCAAGCATGTTGTGATCTAGATGTACCACAAGATGCATATCCCTACAAGGGACAACAGATGCCTACCTGTGATCTGCTTACTGTTTTTAAAATTTCTCTCTTCTATCCAACAACAACTATGTTGGTGGGCTTCATTATTCTCTCTATAACCTGGAAAATTCTAAAACAGGTTGTAGTTGGCACTAGTATAGGAGGAGCAGAAGAGAACATCACATGACCATGTTCAGAGCTTACCATGTACTGCAATCTCTTTTGTGTCTTGGATGAGGGCATTCCCAGCAGCTACCTGGACAGTGATGGTGTTGGTTCCCTCTGCAAGGAATGTGAACGAGATGCTGCTATCCAAGGTGATGAGAGGCTGTAAGAAAGAGAACAGCAATATACTTTCAAACTTCCAGAGGGTATGAGATTTCCCTTTCTTCTTGTAAATCTAAGAATGTCATTCATATTCATTAGAAGGAAAGAATGAGGAAAAAAAACAACAATTCTATTTGGTTTTCCAAAACTGTGGTTGCTTCAGTAGCTGGGAAGGGTATCATCAATTTAAGATGCATATTCATTAGAAGGACAGAATGAGGAAAAAAACAACAATTCTATTTGGTTTTTCAAAACTGTGGTTGCTTCAGTAGCTGGGAAGGGTATCATCAATTTAAGATTCATAAAATTTTAACTTGAAAACTGAGTGACACTCTTGAGTTGTCGTATCACCTTGTTCTTTCTCCTGGACAAAATAAAATCAGCTTTTAAGGCCTGTATCTGATGGCTTTAGGAACAAAGAATCACTTCCCATCATTAGCCAGTGTCCCTTGTGTTCTATACTATACTCGATTGGGCTGCAGGGACTTTTCAAAGAAGTGACCTGTTACCTACTTCAGTATTGCCTGACTTAAGCACTGGGCCATTCTTACAACAGGAAACTCACACTAAACAAATGCAATGGCCTAACAATTGATTTTTGTTGAATTAGATCTGTTTTCCCTTGCAAAGCATTTTCTCTATTTTTTATTAGTTTGGGAATATAAAAACATGCATATATAACAGGTTGTGATTTCATTTTCTTTTTACTTCCTCCTGACTTAGCAAAAGGTACAAACTTGTCAAGGACAAAAAGAGAAATAGAATGTAAGCAGGTTCTTATAGAGGAGAAGGCAGATCTTGAGATAGACGTGTCAGTAGTGAGTGGTTTTCTTAAAGTCCATGTCTTCTCATGATCCCTGTGCTGTGGAGGGTAAGAGATAATAGAGGAAGGCTGAGCTAATGCATATAGCGAAGATACGCCTCAAGCACAAATGAGCAGACTCTCTCTCTCCTCTCAAGACACGGAACAATAACGTGGCTTGTTGAAGTGTGCACAGAACTGCCTCTCAGGACATGAGTAAATGCCAACACTCACAGTGTACCCATCATTGCCTGAGAATGTGTGCACAGATAAATGTGAAGGCCTGAAGATGCCATTTTTAGACAGTGCTCTTTCTGTAGGACTAGAATCCTTTTCTGCCCGCCGCATCTGACAGGGCTTCTGAAGAGCTAATTTGATTTCTTCCATTTCCAATTCTACAGAGCTCCTTTAAGATCAGGCTGCTGGTGGTTGAGCAGAATCAGAGGTACTACCCTAAGCTTCTGATAGATTCCCTTCTCTCGTTTTATTGAATAAAAAGGAAGGGAATATGTAAAGAAATACCATTTCCCCTCAACTAAAGACAGCTCCTAAGGTGTAGGCATTATCATAAATATTTCCTTACAGTGGCGCACACGTGTCTTTGGAGTTGGACAAAGGCTAAGGCAGAAATGGATCTGTCATACACTACATGATGCCATGTGTGTTTAGAGTCTTGTGTCTTAGAGATTTTGCTTATTTTTATCCTATGTGTATATGTGCTTTGCCTGCATGCCCTCTGTTATGGCATGTGTGCAGTCCCTGCAGAGGCAAAAAGGTATCAAGTCCCCTGAACTGGAGTTCCAAATGATTAAGTGCCACTATGAGGGTGCTGAGAATTAAAGCTGGGTCCTCTGAAAGAGCAGCAAATGATCTTAACTACTGAGTCATCTCTCCAGCCCTAGAATCATATTTTGAAAAGTATGCTGAAGTCAACTGGGGCTCTGCATAGCTGTGTCATCCAGGCTGTGGAAAGATGCAAGATACATGGCCATGAAACGAGAGAATATGTGCACCACACTGCTGCCCTCTCTTGAATGACAAGCACGGTGACTTAAAACTCTGGCTCTACCACTATTTGTATGAATGACCCTAGGCAAAGTCTATGTCTGTCCTATGTTTCCTCTTTATCTGTTTAGGGAAAAGGTTAACACTGTGGATCTCAGAATATCAGAGTAGCCAACTGCATGGTGTTAATGAACTTCTGTAGAAGTCTTCTCTTCTATGGTCTAGGAAACAATTATATGTGTTTATGATTTGGAACAGAAATGACCATACTTATTTCCTTCAGCTATCATGTGACAATTAAAAATAAAATATAGGATTTATGGCTTAGGTTATCTCTGAGAAGTCACCCTGACATTGGCCTTAAGAGATTAGCAACTGACTGTCAGTAACATTTTTACTTACTACTACTTTTCACTATATAAACCCTTACGAGTCAGAGGTCTCCCCAGATCTTTGGAAACAAAATGAGACATCAAAATGTAATGGTTTGGTGGTTAAAGGTTATTTTTAAATGATAATACCAAACAATGTTGAAAACACAAAGAAAACTGGAACTCTCATTCTGTTTTGGGAGAAATACAAAGAACTGAAACCATTTTGGGGAAAGTTTTGTTTGTTAGACATTGTGATGATGTTTCCAAAGGTGACTTTTCACATTTTATGATTTTATGATTTTTACCTATAGTCCCTGGGGTTTAGTTAAGAGAAAACATACATGTACATTTAAAGAAATTCACAGCAGCTATTCACATCAGCTTAAAATGTGGACAGTCTAGAAATTCACCAATGAAAAACAAAAATTAACCACAGGATCTTCATATAACAGATAAGAATATTAATGCATGCATATACAAAGGTAGCCATAAAAATACAGATATGTGACTGTAAAAACCATGAAAGATGAAAAAGATCAATTTGTACTATGTGATTACATTTTTATGATATTCTGTAGCAGACAAGTCTAGGCTATGAGGGGGAGGAGTCTGGGAGGGAGACTGACTGAGAACATACAGGAAGGACAGTGACAAGGTATCGCCCCAGGTGGGCTGCCCAAGTGAATGCCTTTTCAAACTGCAAATACACACTGCACATTCGTACATTCCATTGTTGACAAAGTTTGTATTCCCCAAGGACAAAAACTTTCAAGAAACTGTGACCTACAGTCAAGAATTTGCAAGCTTAATGATTTAGAGCAAAGCACATAATCTTTGCTTTAAAATACGATTTTAAAAATCAAGATTAATGCATGTGTAGATAGTAATTCAGGGATAGACTTTGACATTGCCATAATAAACGTAATTAGCACACTACACACAGTGGATTTGTGTGTAGAAAGGAACTAGATCCAGTTCCTGGCAAAATTATGACCTTGTTATTGTGTACCTGAAATTTTTATCACAAAATACAAGGTGAAAGAATTTTAGGAGGGATAATAAAAGTGCCTTTATTTTTGAGATGCAGAACTATTCTCCTGGGTGGTGAATATCTTAAGTTGTCCTTCTGCCCAGTTTGCTGCCCTTTAGCAGTCCTTCCATTGCTTACTACCAAGGCCTTTCTCCTGCCCCCCCCCCCCCCG